GACAGGGGCTCGTCCGCCGACATGCAGCAGAATCCCAGGCGCGCGAGAAGAGCTTTTCTCTCCCTGCCAGCGACTGAGCTGGGCCCTCTCCACCCAGCAGCCCCTTCCTTCCCTGCACTGGGCGGCAAGGTGCCCTGCTCGATACGAAGCTCCAAGACACACACACAGCAGGATTAAACCTCCACAGCACACAAGTAAATTATGGGATGCATTGCTCCTGAATGCACTGATGGTTGTTCCCTTGAACAGCTTCCAAAGCCAAGGAAATGAGGGGCGGATGAGACCGATTTGCGCAAAAGGAGAGAAAGCCCCACATGTCGGGGGAGGGACTCTCTGGATATGGGGGGGGGGAATAGAAATGGAAAGGGGGTGTCCCCGATCTCGCCGCCCCGCTCAGACCCTGCTCAACCCAGCAAGGCCGCTGTTCGGGCCTGCTCCGGGGTGTCGCGCCCGTGCCAAGCCAGAAGATGTGGCACAGCGGCCCGAGAGGAGAGGCGCTTGAGGAGGGGCATGTGGGGGCGGCTGGGGGGGTGCGCGGGGCTGTCAGCCTGTGATGGATGGCTCCAATTTGGAGGCCGCTTCCCGCTGTCACTCGGCACCTGAAGGCCCCCCGCGCGCCACCAGCTGCTCCCTGCCCGGAGTCATTAGCGCCACTTTGCCAAGGACCGCAGGGGGGGCGGAACAAAGGAGCCCTGCCGAAGCGCACCGGGCCGGACCCCGCTGGGGGGGATGCGCGTGGCACGTGGGGGGGGGCGCGCCACACTCCTGGCGCCCCTGCCCGGCCCGACCGGCATCCGCCTCGGGCCTGCGGAGCCCGAACCAGGAGGCACTGGTCCTGGGGCCGACCGCAGTGGGGCGGCCCTCGCGTCAAGCCCCCCACCCGCGGGAGTCCAACCGCTCAGGCAACTGGGGAGCGGGGAGGCTGTGCGTCCCTCAATTGCCCACTCGAGACACGGCATGGCCCACCCACAGTGCTTTGCGCCGAAAAGCGCGCCATGCCTTCTGGTGGGGAGGGGGCCTTCCCCCAGCAGCGGTGAGGACTGGGACTGCACCCCCAGGGGAAAGGGGGCCTGGGGGAGGTGGCGGCTGCCCTCAGCTCCCTGGCCAGTCAAGGCCCACCAGCTGGGCTTTTCCCTGGAGCCCTGGCCCAGGGCCCCACTGGCCGCGAAGCTGCCACCCGCTGCGTTCTTTCAGAACGCTTGCATCGTCTGAGGAAAAGGTGTCTACCATCCATCCCTCCAACCACCCACTTCCTTCCTTCCTTCCTTCCTTCCTTCCTTCCTTCCTTCCTTCCTTCCTTCCTTGCTTCCATCCTTGCTTGCTTCCACTTATCCACCCACTGTATGTGACTCTTTCTGTCTAATCTGCTGCTCCCTCATCCACCCCTGACTTACGGCACAAGCCTTCAGGGACGCCCACAGCCCCCTGAGCCTGGAGGACTGCGGCAGCCTCTGTGGGGTGGGAGCAGCACAGAGTTCAGGGTTGTCCCCTGCCCCTCCCAGCCTGCAAAGCAGCGGGATGGCCGACCTCCGCTCTTGAACTGCACTTTCTGTGCTGGAAGGAAGGAGACGGAGGCCCCACCAGGAGTCGCAGCTGCTCGGCCCGGCCGGCCCCCCCCACCATCCACTGGAACTCCCACAAAACCCCTGAGGGGCGGCCAGTGTGGGCAAGGGGGTTCTCCGAGCACGGACTCTGAGCCCCAGCGCTGGAGCTGGAACCGTGGCCTCCAAGCCTGTGGTCCACAAGCAAACCATGATAAGAAGCCACGGTTGCTTTCCGTGTTATCCGAACCCAGTTGTGGTGACCACCCACTGTGGAATATTGGGGTCGTCGACCGACCGCAGTGAGACACGGCGGTCTGTTCTGGGGGTGCTCCCTACCACGGCTGCTTGTGGGGTCATCGGAACCCAAATGACAACCCCCGTCAGTGTGGACATCCCAAAGCTTATGAGCTGCTGGAGGAGGGAGCTGGGAGCGGCTGGCAGCTGATCGCCCCCCCGTGCTCTTGCCCGAGAGGGTGCCAGTGGGGCACAAGGCTGGGGGGCATCAGCTCTGCAGTGCCTCTTCATTCTTGTGGTGGCCCCACTGAGCAAACCGCCTGGCCAGCAAGGCTGGCTCGGGGGGCAGCGGCCCTCCCCAGGAATGGGGCCACGCCGCCAGGCCCACGGCCCCACTCCAGCTCCTGCCTGGGACCCGGCCGCTCAGGCAGCAGCCGGGGGAAGGGGCTGGGCCGGGCAGGGCAGGGCCGCCCCCTCCTTGGGGTATCCCCGCTGAGTCCGTGGCCCACTGCCCCAGCTCCTGCCTGCGCACTTACTCCGAGGCAGGGCCTGGGTGAGATGCAGGGCCGCGGATCTCACGTCCCCCCGGGCAGCTTCCTCTCAGGCACAAGGGAGGCACAATCCGCGGGTGCTGCTTCCCAATTCAGGGCGCCCCCCCACCCCAGGGGAGGAGCAGAGGGCATCGGCTCTGCCTGGCTGCCCCGTTCTCCGGGCAGCCCTGGGAGCAAATGCCGGCTCCCAGGAACTGCCTTAGCACCCCACACAGGGAGGGTGCTCTGAGCAGGGCAGCTGCGTGCGGTGGGCAGGGCCCCCCACCTCCCATGCCAGAGGTGTCCCGACCAGCTGCCCTCCCCCAGGGAGCCTCACGGGCCCTGCTGGTGCAGTGGGGATTCTCTGACAGCCACGGCGAGCTGGAATCAGTCGGCAAGCATGGCTGTCAGAAAGAGACGCCTTGTTCCTTCTGGGGTGCCCCTGGGGAAGCCGCCAGTAGGGAACAAAGCGACCCCCGCGAGCCCTTCGGCTCAGCGCTTACGGGCTGCTGCTACCTGTGATCTTTCCCACTCCCCAGGGCCAAAGGATTGTGCTGTGAGCCGTCCTTTTGGAGAATGACAAATGTTTCAGGTGAATGTACACGAATTTGCTTTCTGTCAAGGCCCAGACGGCAGATGGAGGAGAATCAGGTGCTGGAACGCAGAATCCAGGTTGGAAATTACCGCCTCTGAAAGCTCTCCCGTCTTACAGTAGTAATGGTGGTGGTAATAATTAATAAAAATTAATGATGAGGGTGATGCTGTTTGCAAATAGAAAACTGACAGACAAGGAAAAAAAGATATTCTGCTGCCTTTCTTCACCTGCTGTTTCCCTCTGCTGTCTGTTCTCAGCACCTGCGGTGGGAGAAGCTTGCACCTGGAAGGGGCTGAGGAAGGTGGCTGGGACCCCCTGCAGGCAAAACCTGCCCAGGATCGCCGCTTTGCTCCGGGGATTCCCACAGAAGAGCTGCTTTCTCTGGAGTGTGGCTCATTTTCCATCCCTCCGGCCCCGTATCATGCATGTTCCCAGCTCTTCTGGTTCGCATCTAGTCCTGTGTGCCCCTATCTTCTTTCCTTCCACCCCCGGGTGTAAATACAAGTTAAAAGAAAGGCATGGGGGTGCACCCTCTTATCATGCAGGGAGCTCTGGGCGAGAGAAGATCTCTTGCCACAAGAAGGCAAGGCCACAAGAGCCACCCTGGACCAGGCCGAGGCCTCCCTTATCCTGGGTTTTCTTCCATCCAGATGCCCTCAGAGCCTTAGGAAAGCGGGAGGAGAAGCTTTTCCCTGTCCAATGCATAACTGTGTAAGTGCCCTCATTTTCTTGACGACAGAGCCCCAGGCTTGCGGTCCGTCCTCCAGCCCCTTCACCATTTCCGTTGCCCTTCTCTGCACATTTCCCAACTCCAAAGAGTTCTTTTTAGGTGCTATGACCAGAACTGGACGCAGCATTCAAGCTGCATGACAAGAGACCCTGAATGGAAGTATGAACTTGGCTGAATCAAGCTGGATGCCTCTCTTCTTTTTTATGCCTATCATAGAATTTGCCTTCTTGCAGCAAGCAAATGGGCTGCTGGCTCAGACCTTGACAGTGTTTATGTGAAATAAATAAATTGATTGATTGATTGACTGACTGATTGATTGATTTATATCCTACCTTTTTCCTACAAAGGGCTCAAGGCAGCTTACATCATCTCTCCTCCTCCATCTTATCCCCATAACAACATCCCTGTGAGGTAGGCTGGGCTGAGAGTCTGTGACTGGTCCAAAGTCACCCAGTTGGCTCCATGGCTGAGCAGGGACTAGAACCCAGATCGTCTGAGTCCCAGTCCCATGCTCTTGACCACTACACCACACTGCCTCTCTGAAATTGGGCTTTTCGCAGGTTTGCTTCCACTGAACCGCATTGGCTATTTTGATGCCCATTCTGCCAGTTTGGAGAAATCCTTTGGGAGCTCTTTGCAAAACCACTCTAAATAATTTGGTAAGCTCAGCAAATTTGGCCACTTCACTGCACACTCCTCAATCTAAACCATTTACAAACAAATTAAAAAGCGTGGGCCGCTATTTAAATCCTTGCAAAACACCACTGATCAGATCGGTCGATCCTGAAGGAAAACAACCCTGACTACTCTTTGGAAGGTCACGTACTGAAGCTGAAGCTCAAATACTTTGGCCACCTAATGAGAAGGAAGGACTCACCAGAGAAGACCCTGACGCTGGGAAGGAGACGGTTGAGGTGTCTGGATGGGGTCACTGGGGCGGTGGGTGTGAGCTTGGGTGGACTCCGGGGGACGGTGGAGGACAGGAGAGCCTGGAGGAATGTTGTTCGTGGGGTTGCAAAGAATCGGGCATGACTTTGAACAACATCAGAAGACCACTGTTTCCATCCTGCTCTTTTCTGCTCTTAAACCAGTTCCGAACCATTAAGAGCCCTTCTCCTACTGCACGTTCTCCTACTGCCACGTTTCTCAGAAGACTTTGCTGAAAGCCCGGTGAATGCCCAAGCAAGCGATGCCTGCCACCCCCCACCCCCGCACGGGTTTCTTGAGCTCCTCAAGGACTCTTCAAATAGTCCAGCTGGAACTCAGTGCAGCTGATCTCACAAAACGCAGTGGGCTTGCCTTAATCTCCACACGGCAGCGCACCAAATGCAACATGAAGAACCGCAAAAGAACGAGCCGCACCCTACCTTGGGCAACCGCTCAGGGTCCCCAGGGTGCCGAGGAATCACCTTCTGCAGGCGCTGAAACCCATAATCGATGGTTGGCTCATTCAGGGCTGTGGGTTGAGAAAGAACGAGAAGATTAGAGTCCAGTGGAGCGGAAGTAGTCACTTTGGGAAGCCCAAACCGTGGGGTTCCTTTTGGGAATCCTGACCGAATCTCCAAGGCCTGATCCATGCACTGCCAATGGCCCAGGCTGGAGGGAATAGCTGCCTCCTTCCGGGACCTGGTTGGTCCACAGGGAGGATCCGTGCCTTTATTAAAGTTTCTAGCAAAAACAGCCTTGAAATGGGCAGGGCTGAGGGCTGGGGGGCACTTTGTGACGGCAGGGAGGGGGCAGCCCAGAAGTAGAATATTCAGTATCCGTTCCTGGGAGGCAACGAAGAGGTGAAGCTGCTTCAGTAGAGGAAACAGTTACGGTTCTCACAGCCAAAGGCAGCTCTTGTCTAAGGAACGCACCTGCGAAGGCGGTTTCAAGGCAATTCTGTGCAATGCTTTTCTTAACAGCCTGAAGGCCTGAAGACCTTGGCGTGGCTCCAGGAAACTGTTCTGGCTTTTGGATGCTGGGAAAGTTCATGACATCATGACGGGACTTCTTGGACCTTAATAGCCTCCTGGCTGTTCTTCTGGTAAAACCCATCCAGGGCAACTCTTATGCCAGTTGGATTAATTAATTAATGATCTGAATGAATACATTCTATTAAAGAAATTCCTACGAGATGTACAATATCTTGTCCTCGTCACTCAGAGGACAAGATTACATTCCAGAGAAAGGTACATTTTGAAAGGGAGATTTTCGGAGACGGTGGGGTGGGCCTGATCTGTTGTGGCTGCAGCTATTCCGGAGATGGGATGTGAGGATGCAAAAGGTTCCATCATCATCATCATCATCATTTTCTATGCCGTCCCATTACTAAAAGTCTCTGGATGGCTTACAAAGGATACTAAGCTACATCACAGGGTTGCTGTGACATCGAAATCAGGGTGGGATGAGTTCCTTGGAGATAAGTTCACTCCGTGTTCCTTCAAGACAGAGCAGGATACCTTTGTATTCCCCGTGGATACAAAGAATGTAAAGAAACCTTTCCAGCAGAGCCAGTTTGTCCTGCCCCTTGGCAATGGAGAGAATGGGTACCCACGCGAGGAGAGTCAGCCCCTCTGCTCCATCAGAATGGCGAGATCTATTTGCATACACGACAGCATCTCCGCCGACGAGCCCTTTAATCATCATCCTACCTTAATTTACCTCGAGTCAGCGGCAGCAGAGCGGCCCAAGCCTCTCCGGCCGCTTCCACCTGTCCTCACATGACTTGCCTTCCGGCACAAACAACGCCGAAAACGGCAAGGGAAGCGCCAGCCGCCCCCTCCTCCTCCGGCCCAGGCCTCCCCACTGCCCGTCAGCACACCGAGCCCCGTGAGCCGGGGTGCCCCCCCAGACCCCAGCAAAAGACCCATCTGTCACCGAGCAGGCGTGCGATCCCTCCCTCTCCCTGCCTGGCACCCCCTCCCCCCTCCCAGATTGGCTCACTTCATTACTGCGCCCAGATGAAGACAGATTGCCTGGTTTAGCGTAAGCAAATGCCGCAAATCCAGTTCTGAGCAGCGTTCGTGCACCAGTAATTGGCATCGATTTTCTCCTGCTCCCCCGGTAGGCCTTTCACAGGCCGCAGCACACGGGATTATCCATGCAACGGGCGGGGGGGGGTGCATACTGTCGAGGGCGGCCCTGGGGACAAGCGCAGAGGACGGAGCGCGGCTGCGCAGCCCTGCCTTCCTCTGCCCGCCTCACTTCAGGCCTGCGGGCCAGCTGGGGAGCACGGCCGTCTCCTGCCAGCCAGGCGTGGCCAGGTGTTGCCTCGGGCAGCGCTCTGTCGGGGCGCCAGGTAAATGGGGACGGACGGACAAGGCCCCCCAAGCCTTTGAAGGCAGTGCCTGGATCAGAAGCTCGCTCTGAAAGCAAATCCACCTCTCAGTATCCAGGCAGTATTATCATTCCGAAAAGGCAGGCATCGCTTCCCACGGTATAAAAGCTGTCTCAGAGCAACTCCCCCCGCCCCCAGACACAAACGTTGGTGATTGAGAGAGCAGCGCAAGCACACAAGTAAATGAAGACCATAAACATCATCCGAAAAACCATTTGGTAGAAAGTCTTTGCCCGCCATACCTACGATCTCTCCCACACCCACCCCGCTGCCCTGCCCAGGGTCTGGGACAAACACCCCAATGCCCCAGGGGGACAGGACGCCGAAACGCCGGCAGGATGGGTGCCAGGCAGGCTGCCTTGGGGTGGGGGGGCGCCATGCCTGGATTCATGCTCCACAGCGCATCGCTAAGAAGTTCCTGCTGGCCAGGAGAGCTGACCGGAGGCTTCCGAGTTCGGGGTGGTTGATCTCAGCGCTGTGTGTTTCTGGCTACCCACATGCTAAGTGCTCCCAGGACATGTGCAGGGTAAACATCCCCCTGCCCCGGACAGCAAAATTTTGCCCAAACCGGATGCGCTGCTTTGCTCGCACTTCCTGCTTGCCTCTTGGGAACCCCCAGCACGACTCCTAGGAATTCAGGAAGCCGTTTTATACAGGATTACTCTGAAGGGCCCCGAAGCCCAGTTTGCTCTGGCTGGCAGCATCTCTCCACAGTTCCAGGAAGAGAAGCTCCCCCCACGCCCCCCCCCCCCCCGCCCTGATCCTTTTCACCGGTGCTGCTGGAAACTGAACCTCAGACACTCTGCAGCCAAAAGATTCATTCTGCCACAGACCTACTGCCTGCCAGCCCCTGGATTTTCTGGAGGGGGGCATCTTTGACTCCTGCTTTCCCAAGTGAGGGGAAAGGAGAGGTCTTTACCAATCTCCATCTTCACCGCTGCCAGTCCCTCCCCTTCCTTGCAGAGCCAAGACTCCCAAGCAGCAGGTCGATACGCATAGATAATTCATGAGCTGGAAAGAGGAGTGGGGAGGGGGGGAACTCCCCCTGCACAATTAGCCTGGAGAAAGACCAGAGACCCCTGTGCATCTCCCTCCACCAGCCCGTGAGAGAACGGCAGGCAGAGAGAGTGCTTCTGTGTTCGCCTCTGGGCATAATGCAGCCCTCCTTCTCTGTCTGTCAGTCTCTGTCTTTCCCTCTCCGCACAGGGGCTCCCTGCCTGCCCCTCTGCCCAGAGATGGGCAAGGACTCCAGGGAGAATCCATCAGATTTCCTCAGCTCAGCTCCCCAGATTCCAGCAGTCTTTCTCTCTTCCCTAAGTCCGCTTACGCTGAATGTTTGCACAGGAGTCCAGCAGGAAGGGAGTCCCCGCGGAATTCTGCGCACGCAACGCACAGGCTTTGCAAGTTCTGTGCAAAGAGCTCTGCGATTTGTGTATTTGGTGCTAAGGATAGCACACTTTGTGTGCAAGTGTGTGCAGACTTGATCTCAGCTCAGTCCGCCCTTCTATTCGCTCTCTGCCTCTCTCCCAGTCCCCCTTTCCACCCTTCCTGCGCGAAAGCTGAAGGCTGGGCTCCCACCACCAGCACCGAGGCAGCCCAGGCTGAACACCCCCGTCGAGCTCACAGCCACCGTTCCAGGGCACATGGGACTGAAATGTTGCGAAGCAAGTTTCTGGCCCACAGAGAAAGGGGTGGCGAGATGGGGCTGTGCCCGGAGAGAGCAAAACTGCCCACACGGGACTCTCATGGGTTAAGGCAGGACAGGGGCTTCGGCCCCGATAAAATCGCCCAGCCGACCTGCTCGCGGAAGAAACAGCGGCACTTCCACAAACCGCGCCAGGAGCTGTTCTGCAGTTTCCTTTCCAGACTTCCTCACCTGCAGGGGCACAGGGCTTCTCTGGCCAGGCTGCAGCCTGCTCTTCATTTTAATTAAAGCACCGCGAACGGGCGCTGCGTCGCGACGGCAGCGAGCCACGCCAAGGCGACTGACTGCCGGCTGCTCCCTCCTGGCGATCCACCCAGGGGGTCTGCCGGAATCTTCCTTCTCTGCCCTCGGGCCAGAAAGTGGGCAGAAGTGGATGCAGAGAAGACGGACCGGAAAAAGTGGGGGTGCGAGGTGGAGATGTGGGGGGCTTGGAGAAGAAGGTGCATGGTGTGAAACAGCCATAGGGGTGCAGAGAGTGGAGGCAAAGGGGCGGGAAAAGTGGCGAGAAGGTTGCCCCAGACATTGGGAGAAAAGGGTGGATTGAGTGGGGGAGTTCAGCATTTTCCGGAGGGGGTGGACTCAGCAGGACAGAGCCCCCCCCCCCCCCCCTTTCTGATGCTAGGAAATGTGGAAATGGAGGCCCCCGGCCGAACAAGAGTGCCAGCCGCCACTTCGCTCCAGGTGCCGACCCAGACCCAAGGCCAGTGTGTGGATCAGGCACCGTCCTGCTCAGCCACTTGCCGGCAGCCCATTTTTGAGAATGAGACATGTACTGGGGAGGGGGAACCCCAGCCTCCATCTCTTCCCCCATAATATGTGGCCCTCCTCTAAGACCAGCATGTTCTCCTGCTCTCAGTGTAGCCCAGATGGCTGTCCCTGCCGTGTGCCCAGGAGACTAATGGAACAAGCGTCACCAGGCCTCCGCGTGGCCTGGGCCACCAACGGTGGAGAGCAGGAGTGGCGGGGGGTCTTCACGGCAGAGAAGGCTATTCATGGTGCTAGTCCTCATGGCTCCGTGCCGCCTCCCGCGCCAGAGGAAGTGTGCTGGGCATGCCAGTTCTGGGCAACGTGGCTGGGAGGGTGACCTTCAGGGGGCTCCCCGCCAAGGCAGCTGGACGGCCACTGGGGAACGGAAGGCGAGGCCGATCCAGCGCGGTCCTTCGCGCGCCCCAGAGCTCCCCCGTGCCCTCCTTACCGGTGTAGACAAAGCGTCCCGGCGCCCCCTTGCAGAACTGCTTCGACTTGTAGGACAGCGTCACTTCCACCACCCCGGGGATGTGCCTCGGCGGCGTCTGGACGCGGATCGCGTGCGGCGTGATGAGCTGCGAGAGAGGCGGGGGGGGGAGCCGGGAGGTGAGAGGCGCCTCCCCGGACCTGGCGTCCTGCACCCCCAGGTGGGGGGTGCTGGCACAGGGGGCGGCTGGTGCCACTCTCCAGAAGGGGAGCAAGGGCCAGCTTCGAGGTCCACGTTTTCCCTCCAGCCCCCCCGCCCCGTGAGGATTCTGAGCGACCCTTTGCCGGGAGAGGCGTCGAGTCCTCCTCGCGGCCCCGTCCTCGCAGGCCCCTTGTGCCGTTCCAGATGCTGCCACAGCTGCCCCTCTCCCTGCGCTGCGTTGCGCACAGAAATAGTCCGGCGACTCCACGTGGGACGAGGCGCTCAGCCAGGGAGCTTCGGCACCGGCTCTGCCCCGTGTGTCCCAAGGGGGTCTGCCCTGCACAGGACAACATGCCCCCCTCCCAGAGGGAAGAGTCCCGGCAGGAGGGGCAGCCGTGCTGGCGCTTCGGCCCCCGTGCGCCTCGGCCATCAAAGGCTCACCTCGCTCCAGACCAGCATGGTGCCGAAGACCACCTGCAGCCCGTCAAAGAAATTGTCCCCGATCACGATGACGGTGGCTCCGCCGGTGGTCCAGCCTTCGCTGGGGCTGATGGCTTTGATGCAGGGGGTGGCAGCTTCGGGCGGGAAGGGGGAGACAAGGACACGTCAGAGAGCAGGCAAGGGGGCACAGCGGGGCAGATGGACGGGCGCCGGGAGGGGAGAAGAGATGCGGAGGGTGGAGTCCCACGGAGCAAGGAGACAGAAGCCAGGAGGCTGGGCGAGCTGACAGCCCCCGGGCTGCAGAGGGGCTCGGGTCCGCCAGAGGGAGCAGGTTAACGGCCAAGAAGAAAGGCTGCAGAACTGGGGTGAGCTACATGTATCCCCCAGCTCTTTCTGCAGCCCCTGAGGCAGCTGGAATTGGGGGAAGAGGAGACTATTTTATTTCTTATTATTTGTTTAACATTTAATGCACATGGTAGGCATGTCATGAGCAGAGCTGGTTGGATTTGGGGGTCAGACTAGATGTCCCGGGAGGCCCCTTCTGACTCGCTTGGTCTCTGTGTTGCCATGTTTCTACTTATTTAAAACATTTGTATGCTACCCAATTGTGCCACAGCACCTCTGGGTGGCTCACAATTACAAGATAAAAACACAATAAAAACCAATGACACATTGCAATAAAATACAAGCAAAAATACCAAGCAAGGCCTTACAGCATTGGTTATTATTATTATTATTATTTTTTTTTAAAGGAAGGTCTTTGCCTGGCGGCGAAAAGAAAGTAAGGAAGGTGCCAGGCGAACCTCCTTGGGGAGAGCATTCCAGAGATGGGGAGCAGCTGCAGAGAAGGCCCTGCTCCTCGTGGCCTTCCCTCTCCCCTCCCGAAGGAGATGCCCCGAAGGAAAGCATGCAGGGGCAGTGCGGATCTTGCTGTCAAGCAAAGCTGCGCTCAGAGGAGCGTGTGGCACGGCCAGACGTGGGCAGGGGCTTGGCAGCGCAGGGGTGGTCTTGAGGACAATGGGCTCTGAGCGATGGGCCCCCACTTCCGCCAAGGCTGCCACCTGCCGTCGGCCCTCCTTCCTCTTAGCTGGGATCTTTGAGCAGACCCAAACCTTCCGGCAGGTCTGGAGTGTGCGGACTCAAGGCGCCCCGTGTTCAAATTTGGCCCGGTGACTTTCTCTCAAGCACCTTGCCTCGAGGGCTGTGGGGAAGGCAGGGCCCCGTGCATCGCTCCAAGCGACCTGGAGGAAGGGGCAAGTTTAAAAAACACACGGAATCGAGGGGAGGGCTCCTCTCTGCAGAGCACATGGAGAGCTGGCAAGCTGCATGTCCAGGTCTCCTTGCATGTAAAAAAAAATTGCGCTCGAGAGCTGGTGAGGTTGAAAGCCGCCTGCCTACACAGAGGCTTTCTGGAGGTGGGAAAATGGCTGCGGGGTACATTGGGCAGCTCTTTTTAAAAGCCACACCCTGAACCCCAAAGCTAGTATGAGCCCGAAGGCACGGGGAATGCGCTGCAGCACCAGTCCGCCACCACACCGGGGGGCAGGGGGAGAGGAGCTGGCCAGGAGCAGGGAGCCGTGCCGCACTGGGTCGCCTCTCAGGGTCCCTCGGAAACTGGGCCTTTTTCGGGCAGATGCCAAAGGGCGCTGCCCATTTCCTCCAGTTCAGGACCTGTTTGGGCCACGCTGTTGTAGCCGCGATGCAGAGGAGATGCCAAGATGGGACTGCGCTGGCCGGGCCTTTTCCAGCCAGCTCTACTGGTCTGGCTCTGGGTTTTGTGTTGCGGGAATTAAAGTTGTATTTTATTATTGATTTACCCTATGTATTACATTACTCTATTAAGCATTCCTGTTTTGATTTTTGCATTGCTTCTTGTAGTTAATATTGTACTTTGTGTTTTTGTTTTGATTATATTATTGCATTTGCATTGAATTTGTATTATTTCTGCTTTATTGTAAGTTGCCCAGAGAGCCCTCTGGGCGATGGGGCAGGTGATGACGACGACGACGACAACAATGCTGAACAGCCACAAGTTCCACACCAGTCTTAGCTGGCCTGCTGTGTTGGACTGCAGTTCCCATCACAGTCATGGCCATGCTGACTGGGGAAGAGGGGAGATGTAGGCCAACATGCCTGCACGGCACCAGTTCGGGGAAGGCTGCGCTAGCAATTACAGAGATGTAGTTTTTGTTTGGAACCTATGAGATTTGGGCCAACAGAAATCGGAGGGACCGTGGGAGCGAGAAGGGCAGCTCGTCCATCAAGCGGCCTGCAAGCTGGGGAGCACCGGCAGTCGCAGGGCTCTTTGCCGTCCAGACATGGGGGGTTGCACCCTTTGTTAATGAATCACGTGGCTTTTAATCCGACCATCACACGCAAGCCCATTTGCATTCCACTGGCACTCCAAAACTCCGTAAAGCGTGTTCTCTAGACATCATACGAGGTACGAGAAAACGTACCAGGGCCATCTCACCCCAAACGACCCAAAGGGTAGCATAGGCTGGCATGCTCGCCTTTGCCCCCCCCCCCCCCCATGGAAATGGGCCCGTGAGACCATCCCTGGAACGGCATTTCGCCCTCCGCGTGGGCCCCGCCGTAGCGAGCCTCTGCACTGTGCCCCTTTGCTGGGGTGCGTACCTTCGGAAGGGTCCAGTCTCCGTGCCCGGCGCCCGTGCTTGGAGTTGTTGTGGACAAACATGTTGTCGGACACAGCGAGGACGTGGCCATCCACATTCACGGTCGTTGAGACCACGACCTGAAGGGGGAGACATCAAGGAGGCCCTGAGCGACACGAGCGCCCGAGAGACAAAGCCCGAGGCAGTTTCATGGCCCTCCCCAGCTGAGGCCGTTTCAGCCGCCAGGCAGAGCTGCCCAGGGCTCCGGGCTCATGCCTGCCCTAGTGCTGCCCGGATGCTCTTTCCCATGGTTTGGGCCTTGATCCTTCCAGCTGCTTACATGCACATTTCCTGTAAAATAAATAAGGCTAAGGACCAAATTACATTTTGCACACGCTTGCTTGCAACTTTCCCTGGCGTTTATCAAAACAAAACAGAACAAAAAGCAAGCAGATAAATAGTGCCGTGTGAGGCTGCCCTTTGTGAGGAGCATGTGCGTGGAGTGAAAGGGGAAGGGAGTGGGCCCCTGAACCTTTTCCTTTTAGGCCGTTCCACATTGTGGGCAGGAATAGCAGGGCCTCCGTCTTGCTGGGATTGCCAAGAAGTTGCAAGATGAAATATCAGAAAAGAAAGAACCTCCTGGGGAAATGATAAAAGTCCAGTGCGGCAGCCCAGGGGGTTAAGCCGTACAAACACAAGGAGGGCCCAGCTGATCAGCCCAACGGTCCATCATGTCCAGCTCGCTGCCCGGGCAATGTGGGCTCTTCTGGCACAGCTGCGCTTGAGCAGAGCCTGCTGCACGTGCCGCTGGATCAGGCGAGCCCACCTGCAGCCTCAGGAAACCAGAATCCCAGGAAGTCTTAGATCATTGCCGGGATGTTTCCAGTTTTTTGTATATGTGTACTGTTATTTATTTGTTGGAAGCCGCCCCGAGGCTTACGCGAATGGGGCGGCATACAAGAATCCCAAATAAATAAGTAAAATAAATAAAAAAAAATTCAGGGGATTGCCTCCCCTCCACGCTGCAGTTGCAAAGTGAAGACTGCCATAAATGGGGCAGACGAGGAGGGGCGCCCCCAAGGGATGGGGCTCGAGGGGCTCCTGCCACGCAGAGGTGGCAGATCTTCTGGGCTGCGCACGGCTCTGGCAAATGCCTCATTCTGCGGAGGAGGGAGAAGGAAGGGGAAATCTCTGTTTGTTTTCCTGCAATTTGCTGCATACTGCTGCAATCTCTCTCCATGTGGAGAGGCTTATGCATTGTATAATAAATAAAGAAGGAAGGAAGGAAGGAAGGAAGGAAGGAAGGAAGGAAGGTTGGCATGGGAAGGAGAGAGGCTTGTCTGTGTGGAAAAGAGCTGCGAGATTTTTCTACTGCTTCCAAAGGAGGCAGCTTGGTGGAATGGCAGACACGTCCAAGGATCTTTTCTAGCTGGGGGCAACTGAAATTAAGGGTAGAAGAATGCCAGGAGGGGTGGTTCCAGCCTGCAGGACGACCTTGCAGTGGTGGCCAGCAGCAGAAACTTTCTCCGTACCTTCAGAGGTTAAGTGGAGCAGGAAGGGGCCCTCTGCACGCACTCACACATCCAGCTGCACGCCAAGAGATGCCCGTAGGATGCAGCGGTTCAGCATGGGAGGACATCTGGGGCCCAAGGCCCCACTGTGCCCTGCAGCCTTCTGGGTGACTCTGGGCCAGTTACTGACTCTCATCCTAGCCTACCTCACAGGGCTGTTGTGAGGATAAAAACAGAGAGGGGGGAGGCCATGTAAGCCCCATGGATTCCCTGAAGGTAAGGAAAAGTGGTGTTATATTTCTCTCCAGCCCTTTTCCTCTTGTGAAGAGCCCAAACCAGCTCACATGGTTCCATTTAATCCTCATAGCAACAACCCTGTGAGGTAGGCTTGGCTGAGCGGGACTGGCTGACCCACAGTCACCCAGCAAGCTTCATGGCCAAGTGGGAACTAGAATTCGGATCTCCTGGGCGCCCCCATCCATCCATCAGGCTAGCCATAAAAATAATGGATAAATAAAGACGGCACGGCTGGGAATCACATCAGCCAAACCTTGCTGGCACAGCAGGATCCTGGCTCGGAAAACAAATGCTCATAAAGCCTCTCACAGTCTAAATTTTGGCCACAGGGAAATCCACCGAGGGGCTGAGGTGCCCTGGTCTGCCAGTGCCCGGGACACACGATGAGCCCATCCGGGTCATGCAGCTGACCCGCAAGAATGCAAAGCTCTCCTCTGCGGGAGGGAAACTGAGGCTGCGCCAGAGGCGCTGGAGGGCTGGCCATGTCGGGGTGCTGGCAGTGGGGAGACGAGGCCTCCCCAGGCGTCAGCCAGCGCCGACTGGCTGAGGCTTCATCATCAGGTTCCTCTCATAACGATATGGTAATTGTGACATTTTTACATGATTAACAGCCATTCCAATTTGCATAGCGCGGTGCCGGGGTGGAGCAGACACCCACCTTGATGAGCTGCTGCTGCTGCTGCTGCTGCTGCCACCCCCGCGGGTGGGAGGGGAGAGAAAGCCCCCCCCCCAGCAAAGGGAGAAGCTGCACCTTTGGCAGCTGCTGACTCTCCGGCAGAACGGCGAGCGCTGGTGGAACCGCAGGGGCCTCGCAGGGCAGGGGACGCTCCCCCCGACACGCGACCGACTGGGGCGGGGGCTGCTAGGCCCTTGAGAGATTCCGGGGCCCAGGCCAAAGGGACACACAAAATCTGCATATGTTAATTCATCTCTGTCTATGCAAATTTAGAAAGAATGAGGGTTCCTTTAAATTTCACAGCTGGTCGATTCAGGGCTCATTGGAACCGCCTCAAACAATGCTAACTAATTTGCACCGTGGCCCAGATCTTCCAGAAACAGGCAAAAGGACCCCCCAGCACCAAGCCCGGAAGAGCAGAGCTATGGGCTATACGTGTTTATATCCCTCCTACGCCCACCGATCGGGACCCCCTGGGAGCTAACCCTTCCCAGGTGCAATGCTCCCCAAAATCACCCTCCCACAGGACAGGTTTTCTGAAGCAGGGCAGCTGGGATGGGGTTCTCCTCCTGTGCTTCCTAAGGGCCATGTGGCTGGGAATGGTGGCATTGTAGTCCACCCCATTTGGAGGGGGGCACGTTGGGGAAAACCGTTCTAAGTGGAAGTGGGTACCATGATGAATGCCTGGAAGGACGTCCACACAGGCACCCTGGACAGGGTTTCCACTCCCTGAATCCCCAAGCCGCCTGGCCCCTCACCTGCTTCCGGACCGGCCCCACTCATTTCCCAAGGGGGCCACCGCCATCAACCCTGAGGGCGTCTGCACGCCCAGACCCTTCTCCCCCCGACCGCCGCCCACCCATACAACTCCCCTTTCCTCACAACCCGCCCACCACGTCCGAGATGTGCCGAGTCTTGTCTGGGACACGCAGGCAGCGGGGCAGGCAGCCGGACAAAACCACGGATGCCACAGGGTTGTACCTGGAAGCGGCGCATGTCCCGGGGATTCCCTGCATTCTTTAGGCAGTTCTGGTTGCACTTGAGGAAGAACTTGAGGAAGAATCTGGAAGGAGAAGAAACAGAGAAGGTGACCAGGTTGCTGTGCCCGGCCGCCTTCCGACGGTTTCCCTGAGGCGCTCCAGGCCCCTTGGCTGCCCAGTGGCTCAGGGGACCAGCACACCCAATGGATGCTGCCCACACGCCCCTTCGAGCGCGAGCCAGAGGCAGAATCTGCTGGCTTCGCTGAAGCTTCCCTGGCAAAGATGCCCAGCCCAGCCCAGCTTCCCTGGAACAGGGGCGAGGATTGCAAAGTGCCACATCCCCCAGCACAGCGAGAAGCGACTGAAGCTTCTTTCCAAAGGCTCACTGCCGAAAAGCCAACCATGTTTATGATAAACATGTTTATGATAAACCATGATAAACCAGGTTTATCAGGAGGATGCTGTATTTGGGAGTCTGTGTAGAAAAGGCCACGTGTGTAGGAGGGGAACCTTTGGAGCATCGCTTCAGCTGGTAACTTTGGCAGGAAAACCTGGAACTGGGTCCAGAAACAAACCGGAAGCCGGTGAGCATAATACCATGCCGGCATCGTAAAGTCAGCATGCTCTCGTCCTCGCCAGTCCTGTAGCTGCTGTATTTTGGGATTTCTGGAATATCTCCAAGGGCAGCCCCACATACAGCGCCATGCAGGGATCCGGCCAGGAGCCGTGGCTGCACTTGCAGCTCTCCGCAGAGCTTTAAGAAAAGGGATTCAGGTATGCCGGGGATCCTGGGATATGTTGGTCCTTCGAGGCAAGCAGGGGATTCCCGGGACGTCCAGCGCCCTCGCAAAATTACGGGCCTTTCAGCTGGTGCTGCACAAACGCATGGCGGCAACTTCTCAGTGCGGGGTCACAGGAAGGGCAGCTGGGCTGGGAGGGGTGGCCTGTGAGGAGAGGCTGAGGGAACGGGGTCTCTCCAGCCTGCAGGAGAGGGGACTCCAAGGGGCTCTTTTAGCAATCTGAATGTATGTGAGGGGATGCCACGCGGAAGAGGGCCGTGACCTGTTTGTCGCGGGCAGGATGTGTCCCAATGGGGCAAAGCTCAAGGAGCCAGGCTTCAGGCGGGATGCCAGGAAGCACTTCCTGACGGATGGGACCCCTGGGATACGGAATGGGCTTCCGAGGGAGGTGGTGGAGGCCCCATCAGTGAGGGTGTTCAGGGAAAGATTGGACACCCACGTGCTGGGGAGTTGCACATGGTGGGCATGTCATGAGCAGAGCCGACTGCAGCCGGGGGTCAGACTAGATGGCCCAGGAGCCCCTTCTGGCTCACTTTGTTTCTATGTTTCTAACTTAGGGGAACTGCCCCTGTGAGCCCGCAAACACAAGCACAGGAAACAGGTTCAAAGCAAAGCCCTGCATGGTGTTCAGTGGGAGTCTTGCGAGACAAAACCCAAATGTGCAGCTGAGGCACGCATTTTCTGACCCTGAGGACTAGAGACTTAATTTTAAAATTAAATGGGAATTACATTGTTTAAGTAGACTCCTTGGTCCAAGTAGGCTCCTCAGTTGTGGCCAGTGTGTGGCCTAACACACATTTCAACACCCACTGGGCCGCTCCAAGTTCTCGCACAACCAACACTCATCTGTTGCAACGGTTTTGCAACTAATTTCTGTCTGTGCTGCCCCTTTAAGGCAGCCCTGAAGCGCATCATTCTCTGCTTAAGAGGGTATTGATTGGTAACTGATCCCAGCAACCTTGGAGGCAGCTAATGGGCTGTATTGCTGCAGAGAATGATCAATCAGGGAATACTAACCCTGGGGGTGGGAGAGTCCCGGGGAGGGGGGAGCCGGAGCCCGGAGTGTGGGATGGAAGCCCTGGAAACAGTTGACCGTGTCCAAGCCACCCCGACCCATTGCAGGAGATGTGGAAAGCCCAAGATGCATTTCCTCGTTCATCCCAAAAGGGTTGGCCCAGCATCCGTGCCTCCAACAGCGGGCTGGCACGGGGATTTTGCTGCGGACATCGTTCTTCTTGGTACGGAGCGACATGGAGGGGATGGGGGGCATTCCTTGCCCACTTTGTCTGTGCCAGGATACTTTTCAAGGCAGGAAAGGTGGCCTGCACCAGCAGGGGGTTGGACCGCTGGCCTTCATGGCCCCTTCCAACCCTACTGTTCCACGATCCTAGGATCCCATGATCACTGGGCTTCCCAAAGCGGGCTATGAGTCCCTGGAGCTGGCACTCAGCCCCACGGGAAGTGTGGGGGCAGCGAAGATGCTTGGCCTGCAGGGTGCGCCGTGGGGCAGCTGCCCGGCAGAGGTGGCCCTACCTGGCCTGGCATGCCTGATGAGCCGGCGGGGCTCTTCGCAAGCCCGAGTCGCTTTGCCGAAGCACAGGGGATCCCGGAGAGCAGCTCGCGGGCCGTGCGCTGGAAGCATGCCCCGTGCTGCACCGCAATTCCAGGGGCTGAAGCGGGTTGGGGGCTTGCGGAGAGCTGAGGGTGCGCGAGGCGGGGAGAAGAAAGCCGGAGCAGAGTGGCGCCGCCGCTCAGATGGACAGAAGCTGGCGCACTCGCTCCCTTCCCTCCACGCAGTTCCAGGCTGATGAAATATTTAGGCTGCTTGTGCAGGGTCCTATAATTGTCATCCGAGCATCAATAATTAACGGGCAGCCGTCATGCGTGCTCCGGAGAGGCCCGGGAAGGATCAGAAGCAGGGCAAAACGCGGGTGCCCCCCCCTCCTGTGCTGCTGGTGCGTGTGCACGTGTGTAAGGACCGGACAAGACCTGGGATCTTGCCCGGGCGACGGACAGCAGGTTGCCTGTGCAAAGGCCAGGCTGAGCCCCCCTCCACCTTCACAAGCCCCGGGCAAAGCACGGGGTGCCTCTTGGCCATGGTTGTGCCCCCAGGAAATCCAGGGATGGGCTGCACTCGCCCACCTTCCTGCACTCACTCACTGGGCCAAGGAAGGTGTGACCCGGGCACGTCTGCGCAAGGGGCTGTGCACCATCAGGTCTGCAGGAGGCCCAAGTGTGCCCTCTGGAGTTCTCCAGGGGTCCCTGCGCGGTGCCCAGCCATGCCCCTTCCCTGGCCACCCATCCTTAGCTGGGGTTCTGGCTTGCAGGCAGGTTCCTCTGCCCCGCTCCGTCCGAGAACGTCTCCAAAACTCTCGGGCAGGAAGGGGTTCGCCATCAGCCCCTGGGCCCCCTTCGTGCAGCATTTCCCACTTTCAAGCCGGTGGGCCCAGCCTCGGTGTGGAGGAACAGGGCTGGCGCTCCTGGGTCTCCTGCCCCCCACCGTGGCCCAATGAGTGAGCCGGAGGTGATGGGAGCCCCCGTCCCTGATGGGACGCGCACCTTCTGAGCTTCCCCGTTCAGGGCTTCTGAGGTCTTGGCCTGCCAGCAGCCTCTGTAAAGGAATCTCACGGCCAAGGGAGCAGCTGGCCAGCTCGATAACGGGAGCTGATAACTGGGGCTGGTTCGTTCCAGTTTCCCCACCTTTGCACAGGCTGCCTTGAACAATCAGCTTAGAATTTCTTATATTATTCCCGCAGGAAATGCAGCGGATCTGGCAACTGAACAAACAGCAGCAAAACAGTGTCATTGGTCAAGTTTCTCTTCTCCTTCCCAGTCCTAACCTATTAAAGCTGACTGTGGGATTCTGGGAACTGTAGTCCAATCCACTGGGCTGGAGGAGATGGTTATTAACCTCTTTCCCCAAACTTCTAAGGAAATTGGGGAAACCCAAGCAACAAAAGACTCCAGTTGAGCTACTTTTTGGAAGAAATTTGGCCTCTGGGCTAATGGCCAGAATAGTTGCTTTCTGAGTAAAAAAAAATCCCCAAACAACCAAAAAAAGCAGCCTCATTTTGATTTTGCACACCTGCTCAAGTAGGTTGCCAACACTTGCGAACTAAAGGAACAAGCTGTCACACCGGATGGAACATAGGTCAGACTCAAGCTTGGCCTTCTTTGTTTTCATGCATTCTTATGCCTGATGCCCATCCAGGTTCAAATGCATTTTTGCTTTCCTGAGGGCTAGAAACCTGCAAGGTCCAAAACTAAGAGGAATTGCCTTTATTCAGGCTGGCTTTCTTTTCCTACGGTGGCCACAGGAAAGTCACAAGCGGGTTGTGAGTGCACGAACGCCTTCTTGCTTGTGTAGTGGGCATAAATAAGTTACACTCTCCCTCACAGTAGAGGCACAATTTAGTCATCACGACTAGGAGCCAAGGATGGCTGCGTTCTCCGGGAATTGGTCTCTCACCCTTCCAGCTATCCAGGCTGGCGACTTACCACACCACGCACAATTTGACTCTGTCCTGCCATGAAGCCTGTCCTTTTCGCAACCGCAACCTCATCCAGCCTGCACGTTTCCACATCTGCCGGATCACAGCAAGTTCATGTGGATAACCCGCGAGATGTTTATTTTTTAAGATCAGCGAAACACTGCACTAATCAAAAAAGACCATCCAAGCCGAGCCCCTTGTTTTTTCAAAACGATCTTAAAAAGCAGCGAAGCAACCTTTGGAGGTTAATCACAGGAGTGAAACCTTCTCAAGGAAGGAGAGATGCCAACTTCAGCCCCTGGTTGGCTGGGTTCCTGCTCTCTTTGCAGGTGGTAATCAAGGAAAGGAAGGAGTGGAGGGGGGGAAGAGAGATAAAGAGAGGGAGGGAGGGGGGTTAGGAGACGGTACCCCTCCCCCTGCAAGATTGACAGTGAGCCAGCAGCCCCCAGCCTCAGGGGCTTCTGCCAGGCCCCAATGTCCTCCCCTCCGGTGCCACCGACTTTGAGTAAGAGACAAGAGAAAGAAATAATAATAAACACACGTCGGACTCCTTCACCTCCTCGCGCGGCCGCAGTGCACGCAGGCCCAGGGAGTTAAAAATACAGACAATGTGCATGCATTAGCATCCATAATGCACTAGTCTCCCCATTTAATATGCAAATTCCCAGCGACGCTGCTGAACACCTTCTGTTCCGAGCGCATAAATTTGAATTTGCAATTAGAATAATCTTGTATAATTAATGAAAAGCGTCAATTTTAGCTCCTAAGTAATTTGATTAACATGTTGATAGG